TGACCCAGTCTTGACCCAGAGTTGATAGTTTTCACTTTAAATACATTCCAAGTCGCCTCCGCACGTCTAGGTGACCCTAGAATCATTCAAATGGTTAAATGATTCTTTTTATTCACCCCTATTTTTTATTTCCCGATATTAAAAAGATATTAAATAAAGAGAAAGACAACTCTGGGATGGAGACTGTGACCCAGTGTTGACCCAGAGTTGGCATTTCATCTCTCAAACAATCGTTGCCACCCTTCCCCTTATTTTAATACACCTCCCGTGTTCGCTCTGAACAAACAGTTATCCCCAGAATTGTTCAGCAATATTGCTACCTCGTTAATGAATAAAAATCATCTGTCTGGGTTTTGGATTTTACCCAGAGCTAGCACATTAGCGTTCAAACATATTCATTTAATTATCCACATCTTTCAACAATATCATTATATGCTTAAAATAACTCAGCAACAATCGGAAAAAGATCATAATACCCCCCGCGTTTAGATCTCCCCCAAATTCACCATTTAACCTCAACTCTGTGTTTTTGGCTAACCCAGACTGGGTTGCTGGACACAACCCAGAGTAGGACTCTGGGTATGAACCATCAGGGTTATTGAATTTTATATTAGATTTTATTATTAAATTCAAAATTCCTACGCTTGCCAGGCTAGGCTTGCAAAATTTTTCGGGCTATCGAGTATGTGCTAGTGCGATTCGATAGGTGTTGAATGAGAGGTCTGGTTCAGTGGGAATATTGAGAGGAGGGATGAGATGAGGAAGGATTATCGGGAAGCGTTGAGCGGGTACAAAAATTCACTGCAGGCGATATTTATTATTTTCTCACCAAAGTCAATAGCTTATTATTTAAAGTCACTGAGCTATACACAAGTCGATTTAACTTAGTCGTAAATAAATGAACGGGTCTTAATGGTATTAAACCGAGCGGTTCCAAGAGAAAAACGTGATTAAATTTCCAAAGAAACGTTACAGAGCGGTCCGTAGAAAACGTGTACACACTCATAAACGGTTGCTATGCTAATGAGAGCAATAAGCCTGCCACAATGTCGCAGGTGATACAATTTGGGCGGTCACATGACCTAATTCATTTATCTGTATAGGATAAAGGTGAATCGTCCAGGAAGTGCCACCTCAGGTGTCGGAATTAATAACCCCCGATCATCTGAGGTGAGCGCGTCAGGTTTGCGTGAGTGAGGAGAGAATGATTGAGCCCTGACACTGGGTGAATGATCTGTCAGCTGACAGGATTTCCAATAATAGCTTTAAACTAAGCTAATATTTTTCGGTGAAAGTTGATCATTCAAAAGTACAAACTGTAATTACTCATAACTGTTTCAATCATTGATACTTTTCCAATTTTCTTCTCTACTTTTTCTTTTAATCAATGCTGAGAAGCAGCAAGTAGCTCAACGCATATGATAACGAGGACGTGACAGTGAGCATGTTGAATAATTTTTTCGATCTTTCATTGCCATCAATGAATTGATGGTATACTTCGGGACGGCTAGAGAAAATGCTCAAATCTTTGTATGTACTCTCATTTCTTGGAAAATCAATCTTGCAACTTCAAATTTTGTATTGACGCTGTGTCGAATTGAAGAATTTGTTGAAAATCGCCGACAACTTTCTATGATGAGGTATGTTACTTAGAAATGTAGGTAAATGTCTTGTATAACCCCACTTTGCCGTTCTTATACGTTGTGTGATTGAGTGTGTAGGTTTCCAGTCCTTATTTCAGGATCTGGAAACCGTTTTTGGGGGAAAGAATTAGGTTGGGAGTTATACGAGTTATACATCGCTCTCTGTGCTATCCAGGGCCACGACGAGGACGTGGCGGTGTATCGGCCTCAAAGACAGCATATGTTGTTACGTTAAAGACAATGGGTATACAGAAAGATATTAGTTTTTCATGGTAGCCCCACAGAGATCACTCAATCACCTCTCATCTCTCCACAACTTATCACCTAATATCACTAATTCCACCCAACGAGTGCCATGCCCACCGCTACGCTTCTGTAGCTATTCACATTATTGAATATAATATAATTGGGCGATCAAACTAACTTACCTGTAAGTGACGTTCGATCGTAATTATATGAAGTCCTCGCTCGAGTACATTACAACTTGTAGTATCCCTTCGATCTACTAGGTTCCACACGCGTATTTAGAGCTAGAAAGAAAAAAAGGGGGCAGTGGGGCCTCCCCCACCTCTACCACTTACCGCGCCGATACTTCAATTTTTTAGAGTTACATAATAAATAAAATCTAATGGGTGGGAAGAATCAAGATTCGCCCTTTTTGGGTGGGTGTAATGTACTCGAGCGAGGACTTCATATAATTACGATCGAACGTCACTTACAGGTAAGTTAGTTTGATCGCCCAATTATATTTCGTCCTCGCTCTCCTACATTACAACTTGTAGTTGTTTAGAGATACATTTAAAAGATTGTACAACTTGTGTTGATTATAAGGTTATTCATTTATTTCTCCTAATATAGATCTGAGAAAAGCAGTGTTATCTAGTTGAATAGGTCTCTTATAAAATCTAGCAAAGGTTTGAGAACCCGCAGTCCACCCAGCAGTTTTACGAATCGTATCAAAATCAATTCCTTTTTTTTTTTAGCGGCTGCCGACTTTGAGGCATGTCGCGTTGAATGGGCGGAAAATTTTTCTATATCGATCCCACTTAATGATAAACATTTCTTTATCCATCTGCTAACTGTATGTGTGGACACTGCGCCATGTGGTTTTTTAAAAGATATGAATAACTGCTTACAATTACCTCTTAACGAACTTGTCGTTTCTAAATATAGCTTAATAAATGATGAAACACATAACAATGGTT